AAAAAAAATAAAATAGTGATGCAAAAGCAATTGCTCAGCACCAGCTGACTGATGCCCAGCCAGTCCCTGAGCAATGGCAGCCCTGGAAAACTCTCCCCAAGCCCATCTTGCTGAGCACGACATTACAGAGCATGGGACATCCCTTTGGCCATTTTGGGGTCAGCTGTCTCAGCTGTGTCCCCTCCCTCCCAAGCCCACAGGCTGTGAGGGGCAGAGATGGAGATGGAGCAAGGCTCAGTGCTGCCCAAGCGCTGCCCAGCAAGAGAGAAAACATTCCTGTGGTATGAAAACTGTTTCGGTGACAATTCCAAACCAGCACCATATGGGCTGCTATGAAGAAAAGGAACTCCATGCCAGGCAGACCCAGTACACCTCCCCAAATATAAATAAATTAAGAGATACTGCTCAGCGTATTTCCTTTTCTCAAATTCATTGCCCCTAGGAAGCCTTGGCATCTAGGAGAAGCAGTGTTAGTTCCCTTCATTAAGATGCTCGCTTTCTTCTTTATCTGAATTCATCAGCCAGGCTGAGATGTAAATGTCTCTTTAGAGGCCTTTTTATTAAAAAAGAAAAAAAAAAAAGAGATATATTTTAAAAAATAGATGGGCATCACAGTTCAAAAGGAGGGTACAATTTACCACATGACCACATGTGCTCAGGTCTCAGGTCTGCTTGTTTACAAAGGAAGTTTTTTAATGCAAACAAATCCTCACACAATGCCTCATCGTGGCTTTAAACAAAACAAAACAAAACACACCACCAAAACTTTCCTGACTCTCCTTCACAACAGCTGCATTTTCTATAGTATTCCTTTCCTGTTTTCCATTCTCACAACTTAAGGCTGTACCGTGGTGACTGCTTAATGTTTGATATCTTATTTTCATTTGTGCTCAAAGTGCCCAGGGAAAGCAACAACAGTTCTAGGATTATTAAGTCCTTGAGAATTAGACTTTTTTGCTTCAACTCTTCTGAATTTCTTTTTGGCTATCGTAAGTGATGAGCTACCAGAAGCATTTAAGTGCTTGTTTTCAGAGGTTTCAGGCAGCCTGCTGGAGTTTAAGGGAACTTTGAAAGACTTGTTATTTGATTAAAGGATGGTTTTATGTAAATATATTTTTTTTTCCTGCCACCAATTAGTAATGACAAACTTAACTGATAAACTTCACACCAAAGTTTCCCTATAGCTCAAGAAGTAGGTTGGCAGAAAAGCATCCACAGTCAAATAATAGATTTGGGTTTTCCTCTCCTCACCCCCTGCCTCAGTGTCTTTACCCTCTGTCTGGTGTGAACGGTGCACAGAGAGGCACACAGCCATCTGCTGCACCAAAGACAATCTGCCCCATAATGGCAAGTTCAAATGAAGAGCAGAACAGATTTTCACCAGCTGCCTGTGACCTATCTGGGAGCCAATAATGTTTAACCACAAGCATAAACCACTGTAAAGATCAGGCTGAAAACAACGTGGAATCATTTCCATAGTTTTCTAAAACAACACTGAACAAAGCTTGATGTGGCCTCTATCTGTAGTCCAGCTACGTCCCGTACCAGTATGCAGAAACTATTTAGTAATTCTTCTGGTGCGGGCTGAGTAATAGAGCAATTCCTACATTTAGCTCAACAAAGTACAGCACTATTTTATCCTTTTCCTATTTTCATCAGCAACAAAATGTCAACAGGCACCATCATGCATGCAAAACAAACGGAAGCACTGGAGCTGGATATTGTTTCTTAAAATGTATGGACGCAGAGTGGACAACTAACCTGTGCGTTAGTAAGAAGGAAATACATCTTCTTTTTCTATCTTAAGAGCAGGCAACTTTTTATATATTTTAAACATTGATCCCTGCTCCTACTGCCCAAACCAATCACGATTCTGTATCTCTGGCTTGCAATGTCTTTCAAAGAAATAATAATGCTGCTGCTACGTTAAGTCATGTGGCTTGGGTAGAACTGTTCTAGAACAAATTTTAAAATGTATTTTTTACCTTGAGAGGCCTGCCTGTCACTCACTTCCCCCGAATCAATGACTTCCACAACACTTATTTGTAGCGCATCTTCCTGGAATAAAATAGAAAAGTTGAAAAATCACGAGTCACCATCTCTTTTCTGAGACTTTCTAAGAACTGCAACATCCACCTTAGAAAGCGAACGCTTTTGCTTAACTGCACGGTTTGGGCTGCGCTGACCACTAAAATGAATGACAGTCTCTTTAACCTCTATCCCCAGGGAAGGGAGAAAGAATATGAGAGACTTACGGGTTAAAAATAAACTAAACTACTTTTATGAAATATCAATAATAAAAAGAAATTACAATAGTATCAATAAGATGTTAATGAAATATATACAAAATCAATATCGGGCTCCCAGGATGATGATCACGTTGCCAGCAGGCACTGGGAAAGTCCCAGATGGGAACTGAACTCAGGAACTGGATTCAGGAACACACAGACCAGAGGCAGATGAACATACAGAGTCCTCCCTGGACACCAGCCATCAAAGAAAGAGGCTGACTCTTTGATCCCTCAGCTTTTATACTGAGTGTGGGGCAGATGGGGTGGAATACCCTGTTGGTCAGCTCTGGGTCTCCTGTCCTGGCCGCTCCTCCTCACAGGTGGGACCTTTCTACGCTCTTCTGCTTCCGACCCTCCAACAGGGCTATAGCAGTAAGTATAAGCAGGAGCCTCTCTGCATCCCGTTCCTTGGCATTCACTGTAAGCACCAGACCTTATCACTCCGGTAGCAGACACTGCCTGAAAAATATGCTGCTAATTTCAGAGAGTGCAGTTCGGTTGAAGAGGCTTAGCTGAAAAGTAAAATTACTGAAAAGAAAATTGGCTCTGTTCTACCTCAAACCAGGACAAGTGACTACGTGATATGTGTTTAATTCCACTGTAAAACCAAGACTAGAGACTGTCTAAAATTAATCTTCATCATCCAGGTCAGCCAATTTTATCCTGCTGAGTATTTTCTGGAAAAATGCTCCTGTCTTCTGAAAAGGGATCATGGTAAAACGCTGACCTAGTCCCACATGGGAGGAGTACAGATGCAATAGGGAAGTAAAGAAATGAGGAAGCATGGGGGTCTTCTAGAATAAAGTGTATTTTACTGCTTCTCCCACGCTTGGACACAGTTTTCCAGCCAGGGAAAGCTTTCAACTCTAAAGGTAGGTGACTAATTAAAATCTTCAGTGAAATTCACGGCAAGCCACATTTGTAACCAAACATTCTCCTGTGACTCTGAAATGGAAAGATACCTGACATATGTTTACCATCCCTGACATATGTTTACCATCCCTCAGTGCAACTTTACCTTTACAGTGGAAAAAAAACACGTTACACTTTAAATTCCAGTGGGCCCTACCTGCTCAGAGCTGTTCTGGCTCCACACAGCTTCATAAGGAGGAGGTGGGTCCAGAGGGCAGAACACTTCCACGCCTTTGATTCGGGCTCCATAAATATGGGGTAGTGGAATCACATCCGAGCCAAGCATCCTGCAACAAACACCACCGAGCAACCCTTGTCAGTACGACTTTCCAGCTGCAGAAAAACATCACTAGCTACCAAACTCCAATGGCTTTGCCAGGCCAGCTCAGATTTTGGGATCTCAGTCACAGCTCATGAACTGACTGAGAGCTCCAAAAGATTTTCCCAGAAGATGGCAGGACATTGCTCCTTAGCAGGTGCCTTTCCAATGTGTCCACCAGAGCTTCACACATCTTTGGGCAGCGCTGCACCCAGGAGTCCATTTCAGTTTTACTTCACAGAGATTCAGTTTTGTTTCAAGATATTCAAACACAGGTGGTCGTACAAAATGTGATAGCCTAGCTCTGATTTTTGTGTACTAAATTCTTAATTATAGCTGAAATTCAAGATACTTCTGATCTCATGTTTTATGTTCAGATACAGCTGCACAGAAAAAGGCAAATTCAGACTAAAGGCTATATTTACAATAGTGCTTGGCTAAGAATATTATAGTTGATCAATTCATGAAGGCTTGTATAAGCACCTCACAGTTAACCTTACTTCTCATTTTTCAAAGAGCTCTATGAAACCTGAAATACAGCAGAAGTCCCAAAGACCTTTTGCTGTATCATCTTCCTTTTGGGAGGCAGCTCTGACAGGGAAGAAATCAGAACAGTGCCTGTACAAACTCTTTTTGGCAAATGCTGATTTTGATAACGTAAGTCTGTTGCTCCATTAACACTGGAACAAAGTGTGGTGTTCAACAGCAGAGGTGCAGAGGAGACCTTCAGAGAAGTTTGTGACACAAAGCGTCTCAATTTTACTCTGCTTTTTACTACATTTTAAATCGGGGACTTGGTACTGAGCTGGAACCTCAAGCAGCACACAGAAAGTCCACGTGTTTTGCTCTCAGGACCCATGTCAGACTTAGAGCTATCACCAGCGGATGTGATCTCTCTACAAAGAAATGTTACACAAGAGCTAGTCCTTCCTCACAGAATTTAGGGCTTCTCTGGACACTGGCCGGAGGGAACAAAGGTGATTGTGAAAATTATTTTCTTGCAAGCTGAGAGGAAAGGGCAGAGTGAATAGAAATACCTGCGGAAGGCTGCTTACAGAGGAAAAGAATAAAACTTGCAAAAAGAGAACAAGGGGAGCATCTTTGTGAAAGCCTCCTGTCAAGGCAATGGAGGCACTGCATGGAGAAATTTGAAGAGAAGAAAGAACAGATTTTGACAACTAGTCATTGCTGTTTTAATTGCAAAAATGGGAAAAATATAATACATTAAAATAGTTTTTAATTTTAGACTATTTCATCTGCCCCTAAAAGCTTCAGAATAACTTTGGTATGATGGAGACCAATGCTCCATTGCCATTACTTCTGCACATTTTTCCAGTACATTCGTGCTGAGCTGACACTCAATGACGGCCACAGAATTATAAACTTCTTGAATCTTAGTTTTGTTTTTAACCATGCCTGTCCTACTCAGCTCAGTCACACCCTGAAAATTAATGTTGCATCCAAGAATCACGTTGTGCCAACACTTACTACAGAAAATGCAATTAGACAAGCATATCCTTAAGTCCCTTAATATAAAAGTCGTTTCCAGGATGTGCACGTTTGTCAATCTGTTAATTATTTCTTAGTTTCCATTCTCTCTTTTTAGGTAAGCAGGGCAAATTCTTGTGCCACACAGAAAGCCAGCAGCCTTTGGAAGTGACGTCAGAGGAAGGTAGGAAACAGGCTGTTTCAGGGAACCCCACTGCCACCAGGCTGCTCCAGACCGTGGGGAGGCAGGTCCTTGGCCACCTTCTCCACCCATACCTCAGCTGAACAGCAGCACGAGGGCTTTGGCCTCCCAGAAACTTCAGCATTTCAAGAGCAGGAACACTTTCAGCGGTGCAGGAACAACTGTCAGCAGCACATGGGACCAATTTGAGACACACTGTGAATCTGACAATATGGAGCCTGGATAAGCAGATTTGCATTTTGGCAAATGCCTCTAGTCCTCAAATGGTACTTTAAACTGGGCTGGGGTAGACTTCTGGACCACAGGCGATCAGTTTGCTGCCCTACGTGGCGGGGCCTCTTCCCTTAAATTCACATGCCTTATAACACGTGCCTTTGATCACACAAAAGTGGGAGGGGTGGCTGACACCCCAGAAGGCTGTGCCGCCATGCAGCGAGACCTGGACAGGCTGGAGAGTTGGACAGAGAGGAACCTGATGAAATTGAACAAGGGCAAGTGTAGGGTGCTGCACCTGGTGAGGAATAACCCCATGCACCAGGACAGGTTGGGGGCTGACCTGCTGGAGAGCAGCTCTGAGGAGGGAGCTCCCAACCTGGGAGTCCTGGTGGACAACAGAATGACCATGAGCCAGCAATATGCCCTTGTGGCCAAGAAGGCCAATGGCATCCTGGGGTGTATCAGGAGAAGTGTGACCAGCAGGTCGAGGGAGGTCATCCTGCCCCTCTACTCTGCCCTGGTGAGGCCCCATCTGGAGTGCTGTGTCCAGTTCTGGGCTCCCCAGTTCAAGAAGGACAGAGAACTGCTGGAGACGGTGCACCAAAGGGCTACAAAGATGATTAGGGTCCTAGAACAACACTCTTACGAGGAAAGGCTGAGGGACTTGGGTCTTTTTACTCTGGAGAAGAGAAGACTGAGGGGGGATCCGATCAACAGCTATAAATACTTCAAGGGTGGGTGTCAAGACGATTGGGCCAGTCTTCTTTTCAGTGGTGCCCAGTGACAGTACAAGAGGTAACAGGCACACACTTGAACATAAGAAATTCCATCTAAACATGAGGAGGAGCTTCTTTACTTTGAGGGTGGTGGCAGAACACTGGAACAAAGAGGCAGTGGAGTCTCCATCACTGGAGACATTCAAGACCTACCTGGACACATTCCCGTGCAACCTGCTCTAGGAGGACCTGCTCTGGCAGGGGGGTTGGACTTGATGACCTCCAGAGGTCCCTTCCAACCCCATATCATTCTGTGATTCGGTAACACTTTGTATTTTATCCTTCACATGGAAACTCAGCTGTAACTGCTAATGTTATTGTGCCAATCCTGAAAAATAGCTTAATTGCTATTTCCTTATTTATGATGAGGTGGGAGTTGACCAGACATTTGTAATGCTAGTTTGTTTTGTCTATCACTAAATAGGACAAATGTAAATGTTTTCCCGTGAACAAACAAACTAATTAACTGGCTGTGCTAGCAGTGCCTCTGGCTTTGCAATTTGGAGGGCTGAGGAGAATGGCTACTCGTTCCAAATATGTCCTTGGCACACGTTTTGGTCACCTCAGTGTTTCCTTTCTCAAAGTGATGCATCCGTTTTGGAGCTGCCCCAGGTGCGCCTTGCAGACGGTGGCTCCCCACCCTGGAAGCAGCTCCCGCCACCCCCCCTTCACACAAAGGTTTTTGGATGAAGGGGTCTCGGCACAGAAAGGCAGGTGATGGGCACAGCAGGGCATTCAGGGCACGGACAGGGAGGGCAGAAGTGCAAGGAGGCTGACCGAGAAAAGGCCAGGTCCCATCTCAGCTGCTCTGCTGGACACCCCGGATCCAGCCTGGGGTGAGTCATATCTCCTCAGCTGCCAAGAAGGGAAATTAAATCTGTCTGTTCTTTAACTTCTGCACTGCTGCACGACTGCCCCGAGCACCTTGAAACAAGTAGCCCCACTTCAGAAAAACATCACCGTTGCTTAGATGTTATTATCAGCAAGTTTTAACGCAGTCACAGGTAACATTAGACTGTAGAAGCCTTGAATATTGTGCAGTGGCTCCAACTGTGCTGAAAATAGACAATGAGAAATACTGCTGCCGGGAAAGAGATAACCATCTAGAATGACATGCCAGACAAAGAACGACAGCCCCGTTTTAAAGCAGGGGAACTGTGACAAGCATATGTCAATAAATACCTAATCTTCCAAAGAGATCATTACACACGCCACTCTGTTCTCATAACTAGCTCCAGCCAAGACTCACATAGGAAGTTTTTAGTAATGTTTGGAATTCAATCTCAGTTATCAATCTCGTTATTTTAGATGACTTTTTCACTCTAAAAATCTATTCCCGTGCCTTGTTACCATTTTTGAGGTAATCCCAGGATCTGTAATTACCTCTGTAAGGACCACAGAGTCTTCAAAGTCGTGTGTGCTATTCCTGACAAAACAGTGAAATAAACTAAACAGTCCTGCGTGCTGCAAAAGGCAGGCGTTTTAAATAAGAGTAGAGTAATACGGTCTGCTTGATCATCATGATTATCTTATGTATAAAAATGGTGTGTTCACAGCAGAATAATGCAGGCCCACCTGAGTCATAAACTAATAAAAAAGCTGACCTGCAAGTTACTGTGAAGAGTTTATAACCACCTGCATAATGAAGGATAGCACAGCCCAGAAGCCAATACTGAACTGCAATGTAGACACTACTAAGTCCCAGTATAGCAAAATAACAACATTAATGCTTAATGGACAAGCTACATGACTTTTAGCCCTATTCCTCTTCAACACAAAAAAAACCCCCACCAGATTTATATTTTAAGACTAATTATACCAAAAGAAGCCTTCAGCAACATAAACATTTTCTGTGTGTTTTCTCTTCCAAAAAAATTCATGCAGGTATTATTTAATCTTCCTCCAAATCCTTCTTCCCTTTACCTTTGTGGTAATGAATTAAAAAAAAACAACCCCAAAACCAGAGGGGGTGGGAGGCAGGGGAAGAGATTACAGCGAGTTATGACTGTCCTCCTTCTCTTTCTGATATGTGAACTCATCCTTCCATGTTCACTCTCCCTTCTCCTCCATCCCTCAGCTGCCACTGCAGAGAAGCCCAGCAATAATACCAGGGGCAAGTACCTGGCCTTGCAATCAAAACATACCCTTCCATCAGCCCCAGCTGCCAGAGAGGGACCTGGCAGGAGGGTCTGTGGGGCCCCAGGCTGCCATTCAGGGGTGTCTCACAAAAGCCTTGCCGAGAGGTTTTGCCTGGCTTCCCATCACTGCCCCAACCTGCTGCTGAAACCATAGAAGGTTTCAGCCGTGTCAGATTGCAGCACTTCTCCTACCCAGGAACAGTTTCTACAGAATCTAAAGTGAAAACCACAAAATTATACCCCTCACTGACACTGTATTTATGCTGCCTCCTAACTCTACAGGTTGTTTCTTTTTTTTTCTTTTTTATAAAGTCACCAACCTTTTCCAGTTAATAACAGAGAAAAGGGTCTTAAAAAAAAAAAGAAAAGAAAAGAAGATTATGCAGTGTAAAAACACTAAAAGAAAGGAAGAGTGTGTAGAGTTTTACCTGCAACTTGTTTGTGGAGTACAAGAATAAAAAGTTGCAAAATAGGAGGGAGGTGGCACAGGCGGGACAAAATCATCAGGATCCAAAACATGATCTTGGTCTTCAATCTGAGATTCATCCTAATCAAACGAAACTTCTGTTAAAAACCTTCTGAGATATAAAAAAAAAAAAAAAGCTGAACTGTGTCATCTAATAATACTGTTAGAGCCGCTGTGTATCGCGGGCAACGCCTTGCACTCACTTACTATGCAGGATCTTCTTGTTGCAAAAATCTGTAAGTAATGCAGGGCAGCCGCTACCAAGCAAACTGTGGTGGTGAGAGCATTCAGGGCACAAAGAGCAAAGAGAACTTTCTGAAGAACATGAAGATCATGGGAATTAAAAGATTAAATCAAGGTATTTGTAAATGTCAAAATAATAATAATAATAATAACAAAAAACTGAAACAAAATCAAACACAGAAAACACAAGGATGACCATGACAATTACTTGTTAGAAACATCTGCGATGAAGTCTTCAGGACAGACACTCTCCAAGATTGCAGGAATTTGCAAAAGCTTGTTTTGCCCTATTGTGTGTTCTGACAGGGAGATTCAGAAGGGTTTAATACCACTCAGATGCAATTTATAGACCATTTATTCATCCAAGAATTATAACCTTCATTTTAACTTTTCCATGGGAAATCCAGATGTGAGATAATCACCATTAAAGAAATGTTAAAACACTTTTACATTTGAAGATGACGCTGTTTGGAAGTTATACTGTAGCAATTTGTAAGCCAAGGAAGGCTGAGAAGATCAAAAGACCAGTGAAGGCATCAAACCATTAGCAAAAATTTACATCATATTTACCCATGTCATCTTGTCCAAACTCAGCTGTAGATTTGGTTGCATAGAACACGGAAAGGACAAGAACTGCATATTGGATCATCAATGCACTGACCAAAACCCAGACACGAGAAAAAAACCAAACCAAACCAAACCCAAACCACCAAAAAAAACCTGTTACAGAACCATAAAGAGCTTCTGACCAGGGCAGCAGACCAGACCAGAAAAATAACAGATTTTTTCAGAGTAAACACAGCAGTCACCTCAGCATTGCGCTGTCACACAAGTGTGGACATCACCAAGCAGCCACGTTAAGCAGTGTGCAAAGGGTACCTTGAGAAGAAGGTGAGCAGCACCACAGGACTTCACGTGGTATAGCCTCAGCGCAGTCTCTTCTTCTGTGCACTTAGTGAGATGCAACTCTTCACAGCAGAAACAAATCTTGTTTTCACCCGTATCCACCTTTAAAAACACAAAACTCCACTCTTTAATTTATTAGCTGTTTTACGCAACATTTTAACCTGCATAATGTAGAGTCCATGTGTTATACCCCTGACGACAAAGCAGACTGGAAATACGGGCTCATAAAATTAAATTTGTACAGTTTGGTATGCCAGTGACTCATGCATTATAAAACTATATTATGCATACTTCTGATTTGAAAGGAAGTATTACTGATACGCTCAAGACATTTAAATACAACTTAGTTGTAATACAAGCTGCACTGATTACTAAGCAATTTTAGCATCCATGCTCCTTCAAACACATAGCAGCCTGGAAACTCTTTCTTTGACTGATGTGTAAGCCACTGTCTATGGAGTGTACACGTTTTCCCTGATTCGTGAGTATATTTTGTATCTCTAAGGATGGAATGAAACCCACAATTGTGATTTCCACCCAGTCAAATCAGTAATAGTTACATCTGTTCACCACTATTGTTTGTAATCTTCAAATTAATGTTGTCATCTTAGTTATCAAGTAGAAATTCAATGTTTCTTTACCTAGAGATAATTGGTTTCTTAGCTGACACACTCTCTAGAGTCGTAGCATCAAAGGTCTTCCACCTACATGAATCACTCTACACAACAATTTATGACTTCAGGAATGCCTTTTGACTGTACCCTATGCTTCCAACCATAGAGGGCTCCAAAATTCCTGAAACATTTAACCATCTCATCTGAAATAACATTAACAGTTCCCAGTGCTGCTTCAGTACATTGATACTGGGTGAACCTAGATTGCCAAGTGCTTGTCATCTTGAACTCTCACTCTAGTACACCACTGCCATGTTAAGGAACCGAGAATAGCTTTCTTGAAGCAATAAGTGACTGAAAGTAAATATTCAAAGATCTTTCTATTAACCCTTAAAGTCCTGCAAGCCTTTACACATGATCCTCTTTACCACCAAGTCATCCCATATCCTTCAATTATTCCTCAGCTTCTGGTTCATAAATAGACGTTCTTCTACTTCTTATGACACCCATTTGAGAAAAGTCTTTTTCATTCTGTCCTTTCTTGTGCAGATTGCTTCTTCCTCAAGTAGAAATGTATGATTTTTTCCTTACAGTTGTTGCTATAAGGTATCAACGCAAGTTGTCCTCAGCAGATGAGGCAAGCCAGGAGAAATAATCCCACCCATAGCTCATACTGACTGAGCTTTTTGTTAGGTAGCTCACCAGTGCTCACTCAAGCTTCTTCCAACAGTTGTTTGGGTTCTGGGTTTTTTTCACATTACTATAAAAATCCTTTATGCTAGTTCTTAAATAGCTATGATATTAAAATCAGTGTATAATGCTGGCAAGATGGACTTTCTGAAGATATATTTGGGATTATTTCCTACATGGCCTCATAAAGTTGTCTAGAAAGCCTTGTACCAAATCAGCTGTGTCTTCAGACCCTGAAGACAGAGACCAGCTCTCAATAAAGTCAAACAAAACCATTCCTGGGCTAAGTATCCTCTTCTAATAAGGACAAAAATCTTTCAAAACATATTCTTTTGGGGTCTTCAGCTTTAGGAGCTGAACACCTTTTGAAGACTCCAACCCAAAAAAACCCAAGTGTATAGGAACAGAGACAATAAAAACACAGTTGTGGATTTCAGTGAGGCTGTCCACATCTTGAACTGAATCAAGGCCTTAAACAGTTTTCTTTTTTCCTCTACCACACTGTAGCTGCATTACTTCATCTCTCCATTAGCACATTTTGTGATCCCAGCACAGCAACCTTATGTGGCATACCGTGAAGAAATGTATGTAAATCAGTATGTCTGCTCACCAAATCGCATCGGGGTACACTGGTCACAAACTGAACGCCTTGACATCCCAATATAAATCCAGCCAGGTTCAGCAGAACACAGATGATAGACAGCAGAACAAACAGGTTAGCCTGCAATAGCAAAACAAAGTTAACAACAATGGGAGCAGGGTCACAAACCCAACTCAAGGAACCCATGGCAGTGGAAATCCCACTCACAAACTGAAGGTGGGCATGGCAGTCCTTATCCGAGTCATGAGTTCAAAACCACTCATGACTTCAATGCCCCAGGTGTCTTAACCCAGTAGATGGTTACTCCAAACACCTTTGTCTTTTCTCCTTCCTTATCAGTTGTGCACTAATAAAACACATTCAACTACTGAAATGTACAGGCAGCTAGAGGTTTTTCTGTAGTGCAAAGTGTGATTTGCAAGCTATCTGACTTCCATTGTATGCCATATCCTTCCACCAAGTTTACCGCTCATTACACTTAGATCAGCAAGAAACCTGAAGAGGAAACATCTTGAGATGATATTCACTCTGCATGGAATTTCCGAAACTATTTTGCAGCACAAATAAATAAAAAATATTTGTCCCAGCACAGTGAGGACAGAAACACTTAAAGGGGCTTTGGTTATATGATTTTATTTCTTCCTGGCTACTAAAACCAGAACACCTCCATTCATACATCGGACAGTATCTTCAGTCTTATAAACCATCTGAAAGACCTGCAGTGGCAAGAGAGAAGAGTACTGGAAAAAGGACAAGCAGAAGCAGCGGATAAAATGATATCCTACTTTCACGTATGCCCCTACAATCTGCAATCTGTGCTTAGATATGGATTTTAAACACGTCTAAGAACCTCCTGTCCAACAAGAGGGACAACGCAGCATGGCACGAGCAATCCAGAAAGTTCTTGGAATGTGTTGATGACAACTTCCTTCTCCAAGTGGTACAGGAGCCAACGAGGAGAGGAGCCATGCTGGACATTGTCCTTAACAACAAGGAGAGGCATCCAGCTGTGTCCAGCTCTGGAGCCCTCAGCAGGAGCAGGTCCAGATGAGGACCATGAAGATGGTCAGAGGGCTGGAGCACCTCTCCTGTGAAGACAGGCTGAGAGAGTTGGGATTGTTCAGCCTGGAGGAGGCTCTGGAGAGACCTTACATCAGCCTTACAGTATCTGAAGGGGGCCTACAAGAAAGCTGGAAAGCACTTTTTAGGAAGGCCCATAGCGACAGGACAAGAGGTAACGGTAACAAGACTTTTCTATTAACAATTCTTTTGGACATCAATCTGCTCACTCAGATTCCTTTGTATCAAAATGGTCTACATGAAAATTGCAGGAGATGACAAAAAGCTGAGGAAGAGAAGGAAATCATGAGGGACACAGCCTCAGTTCTGCTCAATAGCTTTACAGCAGATCCAGCAACAAGGACTTCCTAAACATGTACAAAGACAGCAATAGCTTACCAAATTAATTTAGCTGATGTACCACGGTTAACTACCTAGGAAGCTGGACCAAAAATGTATCAGAGCTGTTGCACAAATTATGATCCCGTTTACTGAGGTTCAGGAAAAAACAATCACCCCTGAATGGACAGGAGCCAAAGAGCATTACTGTGCAAGCTCATTCCTTAAATTACAACATCTCATTACTAGCAGGCTTTACAGAAGCTTGACTGTAACGTTATCACATAAGGTAGGTCTTAACCTCAAAAAAACCCCAATAATTAAAGTAGCTATTAGTACTTCTCTGAAGAGGATTTGGACTATTTTGTATTCAACATACTGAGAACAATCAATATTAAGAGGAACAGTATTTTCTCCTACCTTTATAAATATCATAAAACCACAGATGAGAGGTTTTTAATGTTACTAAGCACTTTAAGTGCAATTTGTTTTTCTGTACAAACACAGAATTTAATCTTTTTTTTTTTTAATTAACTCCTTGGTCTGCACTCAAATGAATCAATACAACTTCTTAGGCTTTTATCTAGATTATCTCAGTTACCCTTTTGATTAAAACTACTGTAAGAAAAAGAAAATTGGTAGACATGGGCATTGCATACAAGGAAAGCTTTTCATCTGAGTTCAACACAGGTTAAATAAAACTAGCTAATTTTAGTTGATAAAGTGAAACAGAAGCTGTTTCAACATAAAACATCTTTATAGTGCGAGTCTCAACAAACAATACTAAGGAAAACAAGAAGTACATTTGTCTTCTTTCAAATGATGAAGAAATGGAGGTCCTGAGCAAAGAAGTTACTTGGTCAAAGTAATAGGTTGAGAAAGCAATAGTTCCCTCCACCTGCTGGCAAGTCTCTGCCTAATGCAGCCCAGGACACCATGAGCCTCCTTTCCCACAAGATGAGCTTGCTGTCCACCAGGATCCCCAGGCTCTTCTCTGCAGAGCTGCTTTCCAGCAAGTTGTCCCCCAGTGTGTACTGGTGCCTAGGATCATTTCCCTGCACGGGCAGGACTCCGCATTTCCCCTTGTTGCGCTTTGTGATGTTTCTCTCAGCCCATTTCTCCAGCCTGTCCAGGTTTCTCTGAATGGCAACCTGTCATGTGTCAGCCATTCCTCCCAGTTTTGCATCACCTGGGAACTTGTTCAGAGCACACTCTGTCCCATTGTACAGACCACTCATTAAGCTATTAAGCAGGACTGGCCCCAGTATCCACTCCCTGGGCACAACACTGCTGACGGGCCTCCGGCTGGGCTTCGTGCCACTGATCACAACCCCCTGGGCCCCATCATTCGGCCAGTTTTCAATCCATCTCACTCTCCACTTATCTAACACCTACCCTGTCAGCTATTTTATAAGATATATTCTCCTGCAGATGCAAATTTAAACAACTTCTCCATCACTACTCACCTACAAGTAAAAACAGGTGTTCCACTTTAACCCAGTGAAAGAAGATCCCACCCAAAGGCGAGCCAGGAGAAAAGTACTCCTCAATTTAGCATAAACAGGCAATGGCAAACATGCTATTTTAAAAGCCAAAACAGAGGTAACTCGTCTTAACTGCAGCGATAAAAATGGAAACAACTCAAAATATGGCCTTCATTTGGCTCACAGCCCTCACCTTCTGAGCATTAGATACACATGGACTGTGAACAGCTGCAAACAGAAAGTCTTGAGGAACATTTACATGTATCAAACTATAGGAAAGAAAAGTGCATTCTAATCTTAGACACGGTATTTGCTAATCTCTTGCACGGATGACCTCTTCTAGGTAAAAGAAATCATCGTGCACTTTGAGGACTCAAAGTTTATGCAGCAGCACAAACCTGCAGGATAAGGCTGTGACCCTGTAATTCATTCTGCGTGGGCAGACTGCTTGCTGTCCTGCTGATGATGCCAGGGAAGCTAACAGCTAACGCAGAGGGGAATGGCTTTCACTTTAATATGCACACACAGGACTGATGCTCAAGCAGGCACTTAAAAAAATAAAGGAAAGAAAACCATTTGCTCCACAATCATTGACTCTTGTATCCGTTTACATCCCACATATATACTTTATAAACAGCCTTCTAGGAAAAGGCAAGCCAATGTATTAATTTTCCATATATACAGCAGCAATAGCAATAATTAAGCATCAACTATGGGACCTTACTAATTTTCTATCATTTGTGAGAGCTATTTATTGTACCGTATGGTGACCTGCAACACAACTGTCAGCAAGAAAAGCCACACAGAAGTAAAAGACAAACCAATTCATTCAATGGAAAAAAAGTCAGGTACTTCAAACACAGCATTAAGCCACCCCAAATGAATAAGAATAATTTCTTTTTATGCTGAAAAAGATTTGAAAAACCCAAACCAAACAGAAAAGACCTGGCTTTGACCTGATTATAAGGGCTAAAATCTTCTCCAAAGGCTTTTCATAGTCCCACACTTAAAAGCATATTTCTTTTTATTTACTTAGACTGACTTTAAAACCTTTGTATGAATACCATTTATCGACTTAATGGTGAGCCAAGATGTTACCATTGAGCTATTTTTCTTCTAAAATCCAGACAAACAGGCACTACCACAGTCATTCTCACCAGAGCCAAATGACTTTGCTTATTATAAAGCACATGGACAGGGAGATTATTTTTTTAGCAGGGTCAGGATCATGACAGCTTCTGTTCACAGTGCTTTGTACTGTTACTAGCAGGGCTAAAATTTGAGACTGTCACTTCACTAGCACCAGAACAAAGTATTTGGTGTAAACATTAAATTTTGGTTACATCTATGCAAATTAGTCAAGGTGCAGATATCAAGAAGGCAGTAGCTAGCCCCCAAATTTTTTATTTTAAAGCTGCTGGGACATATTTCTTCTGATAAATTTTTTCGATTAACTTTAGGTTTTTTTCTTCAAAAATTTTCAAGGTTTTAAATAAATACTTAAATTCCATTAACTTCCTGGTTTTCCAGTGAAAATCTGTAAATTTGTCATAAACCCCCCAAATATTACACTTTTGATTTAAAAAAAAAATAATAAAAAGATGTTCCCAATAAAAATTTCAAAACCTTACGTTACCACAAGGCAAAACATGAGAAGAATTCAGGTTGAATGACTCACGCAGATACACGCAACTTGGACTTCCCTGAGCCAAACCCCACAAACCCTTACACAAAAGCTGGCGACACGTGTGGACACTTTTACAGGATGGCAACTAGTGTGTACTTTACTGGAAAAGAAAGGATGCTTCACCAGCAGAAGGCACACTTTCTGAAAGAAGTTACGCTCCTTCAGTTAAAAATAAGATTTAAAGCCTTATGAGAGGACGGAGTTTAGGAGCAGGGAGGAAGGAACCAGCTTCCATTCAAGTAGAGAGTAAGGCTGAGCCCGGAATGGCTGACAGTCAATACCCAAACAACTTCACGAAGGGAAAAAAAGTTTCCCTTTCCCCATTAAATACATTCGGACAGGCACGCACGGGAAGCAGCTTTTTCTCTGGAAGAAAAATCAGTTTCAGAGCGTAAGTGTTCCAAGCTGACTTGCAAAGTCAATTGACAACTGATACCCAGAACAGAAAAGCATCAGACAACTAAAAGCAGGGTAAGATTTCAGAGCCAAAGTCAGAGTACTGTATTGCTGAAGGCCAGGTCTCCTCTGCAAGAGTATCCCTCAAAAGATATGATTATAATTTGATTCTACCTTGCAGTACCCTGTCTCTGGCACCTGTTATTTACCCACTATCTTCCCATGCTGTAATACAGCCTGGGTGCCAAAAAAATAACAAATATGGCTCTCAATTTTATTTGCTATCAGGTCTTACGACAGCCATCCCTCTTCAAGACCAGTCTTCTCTCACAGGTGGTGCTACTGAAGGTCCACTACAGCTGTAGTTAATGTGTTTCCCTTCCTTTCTCCCCTCCAGGGGAAAAACACAAACATCAGAACACATCTCTCTGCCTTCAACACCACATCCCACCCCCAGCTCCTTCTTCACAACACCCCAGCCCTGTGTTTTCCCCAAGCTCCAGCAGCACCACAGCCTTGCCATCACAGAGGAAAAAAAAAAAACAACAGTTGGTTTGCTGTTCCCCACAACCGAGACCTCGGATTGAAGTGGCAGCCACCGGACAGCCTGGCCGTTCACAAAGAAACTAACCCAGGCAGTGAGAAATCATCACCTAAGGGGGGAAGATGGGGAGAAACGTTTTGTGAGCCAAGACACCACCTCTAGCTGCCAGGAGCAAAGGAGCTGCAACCAAAGGGGTGTACTCCTGCAGGCTTCAGAGATTAAAACCCTGAAATCCTGAATCAAGAGTAGCAAACAGGTTTCTTTTAGAAAGAATTAGCATTTTTAAAGGGGGCAAAGATAAACCTAAATTGCATTATAAAATTCCTGAAGTACTGCGAACTGACAATCAAAAGAAAAGATAAGGTAATACAGGAATTCACAAGAAAGTGCATTACCATTAACAAAGTTAAAACCTACCACAAACTGTTCTGAAAACCAGCACCTCCTTGTGGACAAATTCTGTGGCACTCACCAATCGCCACAATTCTGGTCAAAACTCATCTCTGGGAAGGAGGGAGGGCTAAATGATGGAGATCAACCATCTACCCTTAATTACAGCCTAACTGCTATATCTGAGAGCTCTCAGTACACACCATGATAAATTAAAATCTAGACATAATTATACTATTTTAGCTGAAAACAAAGCTATTTTGGGGGGTTTCGATGCATATGAAGAATTCCAGCAGGTATCTGTACCATTTGAAGGAAGAAATTATGAAACTGAATTGAGTGACTAAAAACAGCTCTGCGTAAGAAGAAAGATGAGAAGAGGCCCTTCTTTAGGAACAAGAGAGCACCTTGTAGATTGAGACATAACTATATATGAAAAAGAATAACAAGCACTTAATTCTACAAACTTTGCTCTTTAACTGTTGAGCACAGTCCAAAGCCTCCGCATAAGGACAACTAAATGCTGACATAAGCTGCTGCAACATAAAAAATGATAATCAGTGTCACTCCTCAGATTTCTGGCATGGCTCCAGCACAGGTACCCAACACCTGGGTTCAAGAGCAATCTTATAAAGCCACCTTCATGTGCAATCAGTCCTTTCCACAAAGCTCACTTGCTGCAGAAATGCACTTCTACACCTGTCACCTGCGTGGTCAGGGAGACAACTGTGCAACCTCTTCTTCCTCCACAGCAGGGAGGTGGCTCTGGGCAGGCAAGGGGAAAATGGATTCAGCCCAGAAGTCAGAAGAGAGGAATCCATTAGAAGTGTATTTACAAGAAATAAGTGCAAAGGACCTTGTACAAGGAGTAAAAAGGGGGTGGCAGTCACAGCTGGAAAAGGGATATGTTTTAGCTCCAAATGCATTTTATAGTTTTCGCTATGGATGTCATAACTCTAACCTACAGCTGTATAAAAAGTTTGATTGCTTAGCTATTTAGGAAACTTGCTTTTACAACTCCTCCTAACTCCCAAGAGAAAATGTTCAACTTATTACAGGGTAGATACAATAGACATTTAGCCCAAAATAAATATGCTCACAGAAACTAACAATATGTCCTTGATAGACTGTAGCTAGTTCAATGCATAATTTCCTTAGCTTCATGAAAAGTTTAATGCCAATTTCCTTTTTTCACGCAGAACAGAATATTTCAGTTGGAAGGGACCTACAATGATCAGCTAGTCCAACTGCCTGACCCCTTCAGGGCTGACCAAAAGTCAAAGCATATTATTATAAGCATTGTCCAAACGCCTCTTAAAATACTGGCAGGCTTGTGACATTGACCACCTCCCTAGGAAGCCTGCTCCAGTATCTGACAACCCTCTCGGCAAAGAAATGTTTCCCAATGTCAAGTCTGATTTAATCTGGCTTTCAAATACCAGACCTCTATAAAATAAAAAATAATACTAAAAAAAACCCCACCAGGTTGATAAAATTGCATAATCCCACTCAAAGCAGGGTCAGCTATGAGACCATAGCAGGCTGCTCAGGGCTTTAATCAGTCTTATCTCAGAAACTTCCCCATCTGCTGCACAACATCCCTGGGCAATCTGCTCCAGCACTTGACTGTCCTAAAGATTATTTGATATAAATTAAAGGATCAGGAAGAGTTTAGTGCTTTCACGTTTACGTAAAACTAGGAAGGGCCCATAAAGTTCATACAAGGGACAATGTGAAAGAGCTACAACAGACAAAAGGAAACTACAACAACAACATTCTGCAGAAACAGCACAGAACACAGGCAATACAGAAACAGGGAGCACCGTGCAAGCCTCAGGTGTTTTGAGACAGATGGCACTTACATTTATTTTCATGAAAATATGGTCCTTCCAGATGGAAGCCCCAGACACGGAGCCCCTCCTTCTATACACAGAACTGGTAACAAAACTTGCTTTGCTCTGCCTGTGCTAACCCATGCACTACTGAGAAACAGCAATTCATCCTCAGCTCACACACCTGATCCTTGGTACTCCTCACTGACGGACATGCAGATCCCCAACAAGGGCTGCATAAAAATAGAACAACTGCTTTGGCCTGGAAAAAGGGCCACAGAAATGACAGTAAGGCAAAAAAAGAAAAAAAAAAAAAACAACAACAAACCAAACACTCCCAAAACAGAAAACAAACCACCACCAAAAAAACAAGCACACCAAACCAGAAACCACCTCAAAACCATTTTTTCAGATCCCATCTCTGACATTGAGAGCCACACAGCTTCAGATTTCAGTCATAAACACACAAAAAGCACTCTGTAACAACATTAACATTTCCTCTACACACAGTCCCCTTAGTGGGAACTCCATCCGTGCAGGACAGCATATAGCCTTTCCTGGGCTTTGACTCCTCTTTCAATAATTACAACTCTACAAATTAAAAAAACAAAACAAAACAAAACAAAAACCAGTCAGTCAACAGTATAGTTTATTTTCTCAAGGAAATTAAAGTCATTTTTTCTTTTTTTTTTTTACCAATGAGTACTAAATCAGGATCATCTTCTGATACTTTCCTTACATCAAGTTTTAATCTACTACTTACCAAAAGCATCATCGGCCTCTTCCATGTCGTTAATCCCAAGATTCCAGATAAGATTACCTACAACACCAAAAACCATAGCATCACCAAGAAGAGAACACCTGTTTACAAAATGCCATTTACACAGTATTTATCACGGCTCTGATGAAAGGTACCTTGGAACACTACAACAATGCTGGGAAGATGTGAAGATGCACTTTAAAGCAGAGAATAAGAACCTTGTGCTTCACTCCTAAGAGCAACCTGCGAAATAACATGACTGAATTTTACTCCCGTTTTCTTATTTTTTCCTCCCAGAAAAAGTGCATGAGGACAAGAGGTTACGCCAGAAACCCTAACCTCAACAACTGCCTAAAAAATTACTTTCAGTCTACTGAGTACTTGTTTTTTGCAACATGGCTAAGCAAATCTAACAACCAGCTGTCTCCTCTCCACCCTCGGCCACCACTCCATCACTTCATTAAGTGCCTGTGAGTACCCACTGCTGCCTCTTCCCTTGTGCTGACTCTTCTGACCGTTTTGGTGAACTAATTCACAGAGCGTGAACCCTACCAAAAATGCTGAAGAGCACCAAAACTATCTCCCTGAACTGGCTTGCTGTCTAGTTGGAAGAACGCCAGCATCAGCATGAGGAAAGAAGAGTAAGTAAAAGCATCCCCTTCTGCAGCAGTGGTTGTTAGACCAAACTTGCTGAATCACAGAACTGAACCCTACGACCCATTACCTTAGAGGGCAAAACAATTAAGGAAGGAGAAAGCACTGCTGTAGAACTGAAGCAAACAGCATACCCAAATACTCTCACTGCAAGGATAGGAACCCTATAAAGGGAAATCAGTGTTTCAGCAGGTCCCACAAATAAGTGGATATACTTTCAATTTGAGGGACTTTGTGACTTAGCCAATTCACAGCAAACTCCTACCCTAGACAGATACAGGAAGACTAGAACAAACAGGAAGCTGCCCACCAGCATTTTTAATAAATCCCTTCTGAAGTGAACTTCATTCACTTGACATGATCAATCTGATTTAGCGTAACGTGCATTATATGACTTGGCCAAAACACCTACCAATATCATCACTGGTGTTGCAAAACCACATACATAACTCTGCAGTTTCATAACCAATTATTTTTTGAATTCTGGGAGTGCAAAATAGTCACATGATTTTATAACAAAGCACATCAATACTGATGTGAATTGCTGTTTTGCCTTAAGGACAACAAGACTTATTTCATTACATGTGTTAAAGCTTTAAGATATACGAAGAGACAGTCTTTCTCAAAATTTTCCTGATCTGCAGTTAACCAGTGCATCGCAATCAGCACGCTGCATCTTAAATGAAAAAAATAAAACGGGCACATCCTCAATTCCAGCTTTTCATTGCCTCTACCTTTCCAGGTTGCTTCTGGGCTAAAATTTTCAGTCACACCGCTACATCCGAAAGGCATTTTTGGTAGCTTTTCCAACTGAATGTATTATTGTTTCAGAGCTAGCATTAAAAAAATAAACACCCTTCTTCATTATTAAAGAAACTGAACACTTCTATTTTACACACGCAATTTTAAAACATTTAAAAAACGTAAGCATGGTTCCGTGTGCAGGATTCTAAGAAAGTCCATAGCTTACATATCTTTAAACTTGCTTTAACCTAGGCTAAGGGCAAAAAAAAAGACGAAATATGAAAGATGACAAGAGAGATCCCAAACACACACATTTGGGTGGTGTGGGTTTCCTCCCCTCCCCCTGCTGTAAAGGCTGCCTATACTTTTAGAAGAGCATTGCATTATACACACGAACAGGCACTACTTGCTCCCCAAACCGCAGATCATTAAGCACATTTCCACAGGTTGTGAACAACACGGGAAACACGATGCACAGCCCTTCAGCCGAGGGTCAGGCTGATGCTCCCCGCACCCGCCGGCCGCGGGGGCAGAGCGCTCCCGCCCGCACAACACGGCTCGCTCCTCGCCCGAGGGCCCGCAAACCGGGAGCGATCCATCTGCCCATCTCCCGCTCCCTCTAACTTCTGCCGGCACCTGCAATACAAACTATCACCCTCTCTGCGTTTGTAAAGCTCAAAGCTGGGCTCCACAGGAGATGGGATAACTTCTCTCCGGACTCTTTACTCTCATAAGCCCTCCCATCCTTCCTCCCTCCCCC